AATCGTCCGAAGCTGAATCTAATCCTCGTACAAAAGAACGAGATCAGAAGTGGGAGGATTTTCAAAAGCAGCTTGACACACTGAAGCTTCAAGGAAATTTCAAAGAGTTCGGGGTGTCAAGACCCTATCCAAGTGAATGGGATGCAATCCCGTATCCTCCAAAATTCAAACCACTCAACTTGGTACAATTCGATGGCAAGGGTTCTCCTACCCAACACATTTATTATTTCCAAGCACAAACCGGTCATATAGTGGGTAATGACCCTATTATGACTCGACTTTTCATTAGTACTCTGAAGGTGGTGGCTTTTGAATGGTTTTGCAGACTCGAACCAGGGTCAATCCAGAGTTGGAGAGATTTAGAGAGGCTTTTCTTAGCCCGATTCTTCGACGATGACACTGAAGTGTCTATGGCTACATTATTGTCTGAGAAACAGAAGAAAACGGAGTCGGTCAATGACTTCATCAAGAGATTCAGAAATTGATCATCGCATTCACGCGATCAAGTTTCTAAGGCTACTCTCATGAAAATGTGCCGCAACAATCTTTCTATCAATATCTTCTCCAAAATAGGCGCTGTTGAGGCCCGTTCATGGAAAGATTTGGTTTGGTAAGGAGAGCAAGTGGAAAACATGCTCAAGAGGATAAGTGCTGAAGAACCTCAAGAATCCCAGCCTAAAAAGGGAGGAGGTAAAGGCAACTATAATTCCCAGAAACAATCAAAGGGGAAAGACACATTAGCTGTTGAGACAGCTCCATCTCCGAAATCCTCTACCAAACAAAAAGGAAATACATCCGAAAATTGTTTTCAGAAGAAATACGATTTCAAAGATGAGCATGTGGTTTCTATTCTTACATCTTTGATCAAGATGAATAAGATCAAGCTGCCAGAGGCCAACCGGAATGCAGAAGTATCAAAAACTGATGATCCTAACTTTTGCATGTACCACAGAATGGTGCATTATCCAACTAAAGCTTGTTACATCCTGAAAGACAAGATTCAAGCTTTATTATACGCAGGTGTGATGACCCTTCAAGCTGAGCAAAAGAAGGTGTCTGCGAATATGGTTTCACTTTAATTTGGGGATTTCACCGAAGTACAAATACAAGATGGCGTACAGCCAATTCCTCAAGCGGAAGCGAGGGTGGTGAACTTCGACCCGTATCAGAAGAAAGAGAATGGGATGGTCCCTTACACTACTCCTAAAGGTGAATTGATGTGGGTTCACCCTGACTTATTAATGGACGAGCAGTGGACATCGGCAAACTCAAAGAAGCCTAGAGCCACGCGAAGATATTGCAACGTCGTTTCAGCCTTTCCAGATGAGGGGGTTGAAACTACGTTACTTAGTAGTTCTGAGGATGAACAGCCAGCTTTCGCTGCACAGTCTACACAGGTATCAGGAACCCACAGAGGAAAAGAGTATTTGAAGAAATATTCTGAATTAGCGGCTACACCACCCAGACCAGGGAAAGAAGTAGCGGAGCAAACTCAACCTAAGGAACTTCGTTACAACAAAGCACTCAGGAAAGATGCACCAGAGAGTTTAAAAGATCCTTTTCGGTTTGATGTGCTGGCTCAGTTAGCCAACATCCCAGCAAGGATTATCTTGTTGTAGCTCCTACGTTTATCTCGATCAACTAGAGAAGCTCTCCGTGAAGCATTGGCGGATAACAAGGCTTTCCTCACTCATTTTCCACCAAATCCAGCCGGAGCAACGCTGGAAGAAGCTTGTTCTCAGTGTTGTCAAGTTTTTCGAAGAAGAATACCATGCATCACCTTTTCTCAAGAAGACATGCACGTGAGGAACCCGAAACATGATAGACCATTGTACTTCATAGGGTACATCGGCTCTACTCAGGTAGACAGAATTCAGGTTGATCTTGGTTCTGCTTTGAGCATCATTCCATTATGGCTCGTTCATCACCTTGGAATTCCTCTGCATCGTTTATCAACGACGAGAACTACCATATATGGCTTCAATGCCTCTAATACTCGTCCCCTTGGCAAAATCAAACTCAAATGTCAGATGGGTGACTTGAGGACGGACGTTACCTTCTACGTCATCGACGCAGAGACATCTTACAACGTGTTACTGGGTCGACCATGGATCCATAACAATTTGATTGTTCTATCCACTCTACACCAATGCATAAAATATGTAGGTGAGATTGGTGAAGTAAAAACAGTGGTCGCAGAGAAGCAACCATTCAAGGGGTAGAGAATTATTTCACTAATTCTATCCATTATCTTGATGGTGAGCCATTTTAGGTACCACTGATAGAAGAACCAGATAGTGGTAATGAAGCCGATATCGAGTCTGAACACGAACAGGGTCTTGTTTTTAATGACATAGAACCCATCGTAATCGGCCTTGAAGATGTAGATGTAAATGATCCTGTCTATGAGGGCAGCAGAGTTATCTTTAATAATAATGATTTAGCTTACTTCTTGCATGTGGAATTGAACACTAACATGCCAGGTATAAACACTGAGATAGCGGATCCGCTATCCAAGTTATATGCTGAATCAAACTTATTCATGCCGATTCAATCGTCTTTTGTGACAAATTGACGACAAACCGAATCTTCACAAGCAGTCTTCATAGTACCAGCTAAGGTTAACGGTCAAAAAGACATCATCTTTGGAAAAGTGACGGCCCGGTGCAAACCATTTTGGAGGAATCCGAGAAAGAGAAAAGGCATCTGTAATTCTCATACTTTACTCCAACAACCCGAAGGCTTATAAAGAATATGGGTTATGATTTTATTCATAAACAGGGCTTAAATTTCGGCAAAGGGATCCGGACACCAATACGATCTGCGTATGTCCCAGAAGGAAAGCCAGAAGATTATTATCACAAAACTCGTAGTGGATTGGGTTATGAATCTCTACAATTTATGCTACGTTTCAGGACTAAAGGAGAGTCAGATGATGATTCTTTCACCTCGTCTTCTGAATCCAATTGCTGGGAATCTGATACCAGTACAGGAGTTGTATTCAAAGTGCTCATGGCTAACATGACCTCAGTATCTTCGATAGTGATTCAGGAAGATGATCAATTACTTTTGTTTGACGATCCATTAAGTCGACAGCTCGGTATACAGTAGGAACACTGTTTTGAACAACGTGAACCCCCTACTGATGACAAGGTAATTCAGGTGAACATGGGAGATGAGATTAATCCAAAACCCATATTCATAAGTGATAGTTTATCGCCAGAAGAGAAAGAAGACCTTATTACCCTAATTCGAGAGTATATTGATGTCTTCGCTTGGAACTATGAGGATATGCCTGGGCTTGATCCCCAAGTGGCTATGCATCGATTAAATATCAAACCAGACGTCAAGCCTGTTAAACAATAGCAAAGGCGATTTCGGCCCCAAATCATGGAAGCAATTGAAGCTGAGGTCAAAAAGCTCATTGAATCGGGATTTATTTGTGAAGAGCAACATCCTGATTGGGTGACTAACATTGTCCCCATCCTAAAAAAGAACGGGAAGATTCGAGTGTGCATCGACTTCCGTGACTTGAATTCGGCTTGTCCTAAAGATGATTTTTCGTTACCTATCACGGACGTCATTATTGACAATACATGTGGATTTGAGAGGATGTCCTTTATGGATGGATTCTCAGGGTATAACCAAATCAAAATATATCCTGATGACAAAAAGCATACATCCTTTCAAATACCTTCAAGGATATACTGTTATACAGTAATGCCCTTTGGGTTAAAAAATGCGGGCGCCACCTATCAGCGCGCTATGACCTCTATCTTCCAAAAACATCTACGAAAGACTGTGGAATGTTATGTTGATGATTTGGTTGTCAAAAGTCGTGACAAAGGAAACCATTTACATGACTTGAAAACAATGTTTGATCTTATGCGGGCACACCAGCTCAAGATGAATCCAACTAAGTCATTCTTCGGAATGACTAGTGGTAAATTTCTCGGGTTCGTGGTCACGGCTAACGGAATTCGTTTGGACCCAGATAAAGTCAAGGCCATCCAAGAGCTACCACCTCCCAAGAATCTTAAGGAGCTTCGAGGCTTACAAGGACGATTGGCGTATATTCGCAGGTTCATTTCTAACCTATCGAATCTTAAGGAGCTTCGAGGCTTACAAGGACGATTGGCGTATATTCGCAGGTTCATTTCTAACCTATCCCGAAAATGCCAACCATTCTCAAAATTAATGAAGAAAGGAGTATCCTTTATGTGGGATGAGGCTTGCCAGAAAGCGTTCGAGGAGATTAAGCAATATCTCTCCAATCCACCGATATTGGTCTCACCAAAGTCCGGTAAACCTTTCTTGATATATATTCGGGCTACAGATCATGCATTAGTAGGACTCTTGGCACAAGATGATGAAAATGGCCATGAACAAGCCATCTACTATCTTAGTAGGACACTATCGGGTGATGAACCTCGTTATCCTCTCATTGAGAAGGAATGTTTGGTGCTGGTCTTCACAGTTCAGAAAATACGACATTATTTGGTTGGGCAAACCATACATGTCATTTCTCAGGTCAATCCTATTCGGGTATTCATGACACAGCCCAATGCATTGAACTGGCGACTCGCCAGGTGGGCTTTGCTGCTTTCCGAATATGACATCTAGTTCAAACCTCAAAAAGCAGTGAAAGGTCAGGCTACTTGTGACCTTATGGCTAATCATCCGCTAAAAGTAAAGGCCGAATTATACCAGGACATACCTGATGAGACATTGAAGCAAACATCGTCTCTAGAGAACAAGTATGGCAATTGTACTTCGATGGTGCAGCAAGGACAAGTTCTACTGGTCGGGTTATAGCTGGAGTGGGGGTTGTCTTTATCTCTCCCTAGAACCACATACTCACACGAGCCGTTTCTTTAACAGAGCCGTGTTCTAATAATGTGACGGAATACAATGCTTTGCTGGTTGGCTTAGATATAGCCAAATAGTTGAGGGTGAAACACTTAGAAGCATACGGTGATTCTCAACTCATTGTTAATCAAATGAAGAGAGAATATGAGGTTAGGAATGAAGACCTCGTTCCTTACCATACCATAGCAATCGCATTGGCCGATTCATTTGAGGGCTTCTACATTGACCATGTACCCCGTCTCAAGAATACCTATGCTGATGCATTGGCATCACTTGCGACTACCTTAGCTCTACCTGAAAGAACTACCCAGCAGGTCACAGTGACAAGCAGACAATTATTCAAATCAAAGTATGCACTGCAGATCAATGCAGTTGAAGCAGAACCTTCAACACTCGAACCTAAAGATTGGCGATTTCCGATCATCGATTATGTCTTATACGGCTTATTGCCTGAAGACATCAAAGAAAGAGAATCTATTCGTAGACGAGCACCTAGATTCTACTATGATTCTCAATCCCAGATTTTGTATCGAAAGTCGTACGACGGACTTTTGCTTCGCTGTTTGTCAAATAGAGAAGCAAAAGAAGCCCTTAAAGAGGCTCATGGCGGCATCTGTGGAGCTCATCAGCCCGGTCCTAAGTTATGGGACCGACTACGTAGATTGGGTTATTATTGGCCTAACATGGTACAAGATATTGTTGCTTATGCCAAATGATACCACGCCTGTTAGATACATGCTAATTACATGCATCGACCACCCGAGCATCTTCATCCTTCAACCACTTCATGGCCTTTCGAAACGTGGGAAATAAAACGTGGGAAATGGACATTGTTGGCCCAGTGACACCACCCTCTTCCAAAGGACATCGCTTCATTTTGGCGATAACCGGTTACTTTTCTAAATGGGTAGAAGCAATCCCGTTGAGAGAGGTCAAAACGAGTGATGTTGTTAAATTCTTAAAACATCACATCATATATAGGTACGACGTTCCGAGACGTATCATTCATGACAATGGGCCCCAATTCGCTAGCCAAGCTTTCACCCGATTCTGTGACAAATTCAGGATCAAGAATTTGGCTTCAACGGCTTATAATCCTGCTGCTAACGGGCAAGCAGAAGTATTTAACAAGACCATCATCAGAATTCTCACTAAAGTGGTTTCGACGAACAAAAGAGATTGGAACGAGAAATTAGGTCAGAGTTTGTGGGCTTATCGCACAATGGTTCGAACGCCAACGGGAGAGACACCATATTCCTTGGTATACGGATGTGAAGTCGTATTACCATTAGAAATCCAAATTCCCTTCTTGCGGATAGCACTCACAATTGGTATGACGACAGAAGAGAGTCATCGCCGACATCTTAAAGAATTAGAATCGCTTGATGAAAAGCGGCTATTGGCTCAACAACACATTAAGCTTTATCAAGCTCGGATTTCCAGAGCATTTGATAAGAAGGTTAAATACCGCACATTTAAAGAAGGCGACTTGGTTCTTGCAGTTCGACGCCCGATGATTTTAAACTCCAAGAAGAAAGGAAAGTTTGAGCCAAAGTGGGAAAGGCCATTTGTAGTAGAAACTGTCTACTCGAATGGAGCCTATCGTCTTATCACCCAAGATGGAGACAAACTTATGATGCCTATCAACGATAAATTTCTGAAGAAATATTACCCGTAGACTTCATCATCAAATGTACCTTGCCGCGGGAGAAGAAACAAATAAATGTAATGATTTCTTTATTTCATCTCCTCCAAATTTCCCTCACTAATCCTCTTCAATAGGATAGTAGGACTATTGTTGTATTAATTCTACCTCTGATTGCTGATGGTCTTCTAATAGTAACCTACTATATGATGTGTTGCTCTCCTAACGTCGTCATTTTCCCAAATAACGTTCGTTTTCCTAACTTAGGCCTACCAAGTGATGTGCCTTCATTTCCAACATCGTCATACTTCTAAAGTCACTGAACGATGTGATTCTCCTAACGTCGTCATTTTCCCAAATGACATTCGTTTTCCTAACTTAGGCCTACCAAGTGATGTGCCTTCATTTCTAACATCGTCATACTTCTAAAGTCACTGAACGATGTGATTTTCCTAACGTCGTCATTTTCCCAAATAACGTTCGTTTTCCTAACTTAGGCCTACCAAGTGATGTGCCTTCGTTTCCATCAACATCGTCATACTTCTAAAGTCACCGAACAATGTGATTTTCCTAACGTCGTCATTTTCCCAAATGACGTTCGTTTTTCTAACTTAGGCCTACCAAGTGACGTCGTCATTTTCCCAAATGACGTTCGTTTTTCTAACTTAGGCCTACCAAGTGATGTGCCTTCGTTTCCATCAACATCATCATACTTCTAAAGTCATCGAACGATGTGATTTTCCTAACGTCGTCATTTTCCCAAATGACGTTCGTTTTTCTAACTTAGGCCTACCAAGTGATGTGCCTTCGTTTCCAACATCGTCATACTTCTAAAGTCACTGAACGATGTAATTTTCCTAACGTCGTTATTTTCCCAAATGACGTTCGTTTTCCTAACTTAGGCCTACCAAGTGATGTGCCTTCGTTTCTATCAACATCGTCATACTTCTAAAGTTACTGAACGATGTGATTTTCCTAACATCGTCCTTTTCCCAAATGACGTTGGTTTTCCTAACTTAGGCCTACCAAGTGATGTGCCTTCATTTCCAACATCGTCATACTTCTAAAGTCACTGAACGATGTGATTTTCCTAACGTCATTTTCCCTAATGACGTTCGTTTTCCTAACCTAGGCCTACCAAGTGATGTGCCTTCATTTCCAACATCGTCATACTTCTAAAGTCACTGAACGATGTGATTTTCCTAACGTCGTCATTTTCCTAAATGACCACTGAACGATGTGATTTTCCTAACGTCGTCATTTTCCTAAATGACGTTCGTTTTCCTAACTTAGGCCTATCAAGTGATGTGCCTTCGTTTCCATCAACATCATCATACTTCTAAAGTCACTGAACGATGTGATTTTCCTAATATCGTCATTTTCCCAAATGACGTTTGTTTTCCTAACTTAGGCCTACCAATTGATGTGCATTCGTTTCCAACATCGACATGCTTCTAAAGTCACTGAACGATGTGATTTTCCTAACGTCATTATTTTCCCAAATGACGTTCGTTTTCCTAACTTAGGCCTACCAAGTGATGTGCCTTCATTTCTTTCATCATCGTCATACTTCAAAAGTCACTGAATGATGTAATTTTCCCCTAATGACGTTCATTTTCCCGACGAGTCTGCCATGTGTTGAACTTCATCCTTAATACCTAGTTATATTTTGAACCTCGTTATCATGCATTTGATTTGGGGTCTAAAAGAGACTAAGGATAGAAGAGAAATCTTAGCATTAAAGTCTAAGAGAAACTCTTTGACAACTCATCATACTGAGGGGAAAAGTATGGCTAATCCAACTCAAACGGTAGTTGGTAAAGACCACCCAAGTCCGTTGACAGCTGAGGGTTTGCTAAAAATCCTAAGTTAGAATGCTTCAGTTATGCAAGAGAACAATATGTGGATAAAATATAAATTTTATTCATATATAATTAAAGATACAGAAACACAAAGTATATAGATTGAACTTAGAAGACTCGAACTACAATACGAGGTTCAGTTACAAGTTCTTTCAGCTACAATATGAGGTTCAGTTACAAGTTCTTTTGACGACATTCGGACTATAGTACGAAGTTCAGTTACAAGTTTTGATGACCTTCGAGATTGCACTACGAGCCTCGTCCGCAGCAAACGTGTTGTCTTGTTGTTGAAGTTCCATCTTCCGTTCCTGGGCATGAAGTCTTCCCTATACCTAACTTTTAACTTTGGTGCTTGTAGCACACGTTTACCTACTTGGGTAAACTGACTACTGATAGAAACACCATAAGCTCTGAGCATAGGATCAGCACTTCTCCCATCTCCACAGAACATGAAGATGGCACTAACATAGTTGCTGACTCCTAAAAGAAGCACTTCACTGAGCCTGTGAAGCTGCCGCATAGACCAAAGTCTAGCAAAGGGACTGCATGCTTGGGGGTACATGGCATGTCAAAACAGTAAGCATATTTGGACTTAAGATATCTCTTGAGGTTACATTCAAAATTCTGACAAGTTGTCAAAACATGTCCTAATTTCGACTCTGGAACACTGAGAAACCCTCAAATGAGCGAGCTACTACGAAGACTAAGAGATCAGGGATCAGTCAGAAGAGTTACCTGAAGCGACAAAGTCATCAACTTTGACTACCTCACCGGCGACGATCATCGGAGTTTGGAGTCTAATAGGAAGCAAAGGTGGAAGTCTTAAAATGGGTCGTTTCCTCTAAATCATTTTGGAAACAAAGCACAGAATAGGAAGATGAATCCTTTCGAGAAGCGACTACCTATTTATAGGTGAAAGAGCCAACCAAGTGGCTTGGATGCATTACACGAATCCCTAAGTACCGAATCGCCAAAAGGTGCTGAGAACGAAGCGGCGCAATCAATTGCGTTCGTAATTAATGCCAAAGAAAACGTGGCTCGAAGCGACGCATTAAGTGCTCAAGACTTAACGCTGGCGAGGTGAATTCTTGTGGATTAACAGTCTTGAAACTATTGAAAGTTGTCACGTCATTCAACGAGATTTATTCTCGTTCCTAAATAAAAATAATAATAACGAGGGTCGTTGTTTCAAACTGGGCTTAGATATTGAAACTCGATCGAAAGTGGGTTCGAACCTAGTCTTCGACGAAGGTCATCCCTCTATTTGAACTCAAGTATTAAGACTTGATTGAAAAAGGATCCAAACCTCGTCTTCGACGAAGGTCGTTTCTTTAATTATACTCAAATATTGGATCTGAACCTCGTATTCAACGAAGGTCGTTCCTTTAATTATACTCAAGTGTTGAAACTTGATCGAATTTGGAATCTGAACCTCGTCTTTGACGAAGGTCGTTCCTCTAGCTGTACTCGAGTAGTGAGATTTGATCAAAATTAGATCCGAACCTCGTCTTCAACGAAGGTTGTTCCTTGAATTTTACTCAAATATTAATAACTCGATGGAAATCAGATTTGAACCTCGTCTTCCACGAAGGTCATTCCAATAATTGGGTTCAAATGCCAAGGATTAATTAAACGAGATTAGAACTTCGTTACGTCAAATACGAATTGGAATTCGAATCCAACCTCGTATCAAAGTAACAAGGTTCGTACTTCAAATCGTAAATCGCAAAACAACGAAGTTCGTGAACTTTGGCATTAGATTATGCATCGAGGTGCAAAGTAGAATTAATGAACAAAGACGTCTGAAATTCTACTTATAAAAAGAAAACATATGAAGAAAAGGGTTACAAAAGTCCGATAAAAAAATAGAACTAAATAGAGCCAGCAATCTGATGAATTTCCTCAGCGAGTTTAGCTATGGATTCTTGGTTTTCTGCCTCAACATCAGCCAAAGCTTGTCTACGCAGCTCCTCATCAGAATAGACGCTCATGTCATTTATAGCTTTTTCTAGCTGGTCCATTCGATCAATTTCAGCTTGAAGTAAGGGTTGATGCTGCATTTGTTTTGAAGCCAATGTCTGCTTCATATCCGTCATGCCTAGCAATTTAGCTTCAACCTCTACCAATTGGGCCTGAAGAGCCTTGATTTGAGCTTGAAGATGGTCGACCTTACGTTGCTTTTGAAGTTCAGCGTTTGCAACCTTTCTAC